AAAATCTACTGTAGGGAACCTGCTTTAGCAGGGGTTGGACTAGATGATCTCCAGAGATCCCTTCCAACTCCCATAGTTCTGTGATTCTGTGGAGGGTATAGCTGGGTTACTGAGAAGACACTACTCATCCTCAATGTATAGAGAGAATAGCCAAAGTCCTTCTGGTCTTTTAGCAAGAAGCAGGAGATTAAGGTTATATCAAAGAGCATTACGGATAAAACCAGCGATGAGGTTACTCAAAATAAGGGCTCCATGGGACAAAAGCAGTTGGGGTAGGAACAAAAATGCAGTCGGATGCATATTGCTGAGGAGTTTGCATTACCATTCTCACATACAGCAGCGCCCAAGGATCAGTAAGAGAATTAAATAAGATTTGATAAATCATGTTATAGCATTAGTGGTAGGCTACTCTATTTAGTTATGCAAAATGGTGCTTGACTTGTGAGTTGCAGCCATGTGTGATATCAGGTTCAGATCAAGATGTTTCCTGAAAAATTGGCAAGACAGTTGACTTACGATATGAGGAGAAAATCTACTCATATATCTGACTCTCTGTCTCTATAAGTAAAAATAAACAAACAAACAAACCAAAAAAACCTTCTCCTGAGTGAAATCACCTTGTTGTCTTTCATAGTAGATGTGTTTTTGAAAATGACAGGACTTTGGGACATAACTAACTACTCATTAGAAATATTTTTGCCAGCAATGAGTCGTGCATCCAGAAACACCTCCTTCCCTGCTCTACTCTGTAGTCAATGGGCTGTATTTAAAGCTTCCTTTGAATAAATTGGATGTGGCTCATTTTAGAAGTAAATGGAAGCCCCTTTTGAGAGACTACTTTCCTTTTTTTTTTTAATATGTGCAGTGATCAGGAAACTCCATGCACTATACTCAAGCAATGATAAACTTAATAAAATAATAAACTGTATAAATTGCCCTGTCATCTAGTTGGCCTAGATGGCAATTGAGTGCAATGTAACACTCCTGCTTCTTGCTTGTATCTGTGGCAGTCAGCTTCTGTGATCTGACTCTGCTGTCCCAGCATCTCTGCCTTGAGTCTTATCTGCTTAAACCAGCTCATGAGGCATCAGGAACAGGTCCTGTACAAATTGCTTGATTGTCACTCATCTGCATGTTTAACAAGCAATACATCCATTTTTGATTTGAAGGTCTCAAATCACCTTCATCATAATTATTTAAAGTATCTCAGCCTTTGCAGTTCTCCTCTTGCCCATCTGGTGGGTGGCTTTCAAGGTGTACATGTCAACAACACTCTGGGAGAAAACAAGAAAGCATAAGTGGATTGAACTAAAAATACTGATCTGCAGTCTCCTGTCCTTGCTGCATAACAGCCCAGGGGGCTGATTCACAGCAGATTTGGGAGAGTCCAGGAAGCCAGTTGCCAGTGTTGGTCACACAGTCTCAACTGATGACACCAGCTTTTAGGAACTTGGCCTTCATGCAGACTTGAAATGTCCTGCAGCTGCAGTGTACACACATAGATTCTTACTTCAACACAATATAAAGCAAAATGTTTTTCTTTCGATGTCATAAGGGGGAAATGGAAGGCAGGAGAAGGAAGGGTGGTTGGGATGAGCAAGATGCAGCATTTCCCTTCACTCGTTTGGTGCCTTCAGACCTGTGCTTTCTACCTGGCAATTGCTGGGTGCACCAGAGGAACATACCTGCAACTCCTGCTCTATCAAAAGCTGTATCATCTCTTGACATGGCATAAGATGAGTAAGGTAAGAGGTTGCTTACCTTTAAGTTTGTCCTGATTTGAGTCAACCTGGTTCTTTGAGAGGAGTCAGAGCAGGGCATGGGTGGTTGAAGACAGGGATCCATGATAACCCCATATCCATTTTGGTGCACTAGTTGGGCCCCAATGGAGCAGTGCAGCTGCCCTGCAGCCAGACCCATTGGAGAGAACAGCAGCCTTCACAAAGATTTCTTTCTTTGTTTTTTACCTTTTTTTTTTTATTTTTTTTTTTTTTTAGGTTTTGTTTTATTTTTTTTTTTTTTTCCCTCCTCCACTTCAAAGAAAAACGATTTGCTCATTTAGTAATCACCAATGGGGACGTGAATTACCGAGCTCGCCCCCAGACTGGTTTTATCTCCTGCCCAATAAATCTCTAAACTGAAGCAATGAAGCTAAGTACTGCTGCTATTTCTGCGTTTTATTTCCATATTAATCAAAATGAGCCACTCCGCCTCCTCCCGGAGCCTGTTCTGCAGGGGAAGGGCATTCCTTAGGGGGACGGATGGGGTTTGTCAGATGTGGGAACCAGTGCAGAATGAGAGAGAGGAGAAAAAGAAAGCCAATAACAGAGGGGACTTAAGGAGGCACCTGGGAGGACCAGTGTCATGTGTGCCATGAGCCCTGGGTGGGACCAGCAGGGTATCCCACTTGGGAGGACACGGCTGGGTCCTCAGAACTTCCCTGTTCTTGCTCCTTTTCATTCTCCCATATTTATTTTATTTGCCAAATGTGTGCATATGTGTGTGGAGGAAATCCACCCAATGAAAGCCCCACAGTTTCCACTTTTCTCTCCATAGACATCTTCTCCCAGAGTTCTGTATTTTTTTTTTTCTTTTTCAGTATTGAAAAAGTCAAAAAGGAGGGCCAGCAGGAGAGCAGTGCCCTGGGAAGCTGTGCAAGACCCCACAGGGAGCAATGCATTGAGAGGAAGGGAAGGGAAGGGAAGGGAAGGGAAGGGAAGGGAAGGGAAGGG